GACTGTAAAACGCTGAATCCTGCATCACGGGGCTGCTCGGAAGAATCCCAGCAAAAACCATTGCATCTTTATGAAAGAAAGATTGTGCTTGCATTGTGCCTTTCACAACCTCAGGATGGCCTGAGGCACATTAGAACCAAAGACGTAATGTTGTAAGTGGAACATCGGTACCAGAATTTACTTGCGTACAGCAAGTTCCCACAAACAGCAACCAGGTCATCTGCTTTTAGTGACATCAACTGTGGGAATAAAAAGAATGAGGCACATTATGCTAAAGCACTGTTTCTCAACCACAGAACATTGCAGTGTCTTTCACAACCAGTTAAGTGCTTTTGAAGTTGTGGGCACTGTTTAAAGTGGCAAGTAACTTGCATGCAGCAAGCTCAGAATCATGCAACTGTTACGGTGCCCATCCTGTCTACGCTGGCTCTCTGAATAAACATTATGACTCAGTGCCAATCTCCTGCCTTGGCCCTGTCACCTTGAATATTATTTCTATCCAAATCATCCCCGCAGGAATAGAAATGTGATGGTGACCAAATAACCCGCATTTGTGACTTTGATCGAGGGATAAATAATGTCTGGAACTCTGGGAAGACAGCAGGCAGATTTGTGAGCATATGGTTTGGGAGCAGGAGTAGGCCATTTGGCCCATCAATACTGCTGTACCATTTAATTCATTCGTGGCTGATCTGATGTTAACCACAGCTCTGCACTCCAACTTTCCTCTGATAACCTGTAAACCTTTCTCTTATCAATAATCCACCCACCTCCACCTCAGAAGAATATTCAAAGACTCCGCTCCCGCCACCTCTCGAGGAAGAGAGATTGAAAAGACGACAGTGTAAGGGAAAAATATAAATTCTCTGGATCTCCATCTTAAATGGGTCACCCCTTGTTTTGAAACAGTGATCCCTAACCCTGGGTTAGCCCACCAGGAGAAACATCCTTCCCACATCCACCTTGCGTGGGGTGATGGGGCATCGGTTTCGGCCTTCAGCCTAAAGAGACCGACCATCTTTGGCAAGTCATCACTCCCTAAATCAGTTAGCTCAATTGGTTGGAAGGCTGGCTCACAGCATGGGGCGTTGACAATAGCATGGGTTTGTTTCCTACACCAGCTGAGGTTACCACAAAGGATTCTCCTTCTCAATCTCACCGGAGGTGTGGTGACCCTATGGTTAAACTACCACCAGCTGTCTCTCTAAAGAGAAAGCAGCCCTATGGACTGATTATCATCACTGACGGTCCCTCACAAACAAGGATGACTCACTACCCCTCTCAGGGTGAGTCTGTAGGCGGCCGTACAGACTGAGGGGGCTACAGCAGGGCCCTGTTACCCTTGGGGCAGAAGGTGGGCACGGGAAGGGGTGAGTGGGGCGTTGGTGTGGCAGCGCGCCCCTTTCCCTGTTTTCCCCCCAGCTTCCGCTTTTTCCCGACAGTGAGCCTCCAGGAGCTCGGCACCTTCCCGGATGCTCCTCCTACTCCACTTTGGACGGTCTTGGGGCCGCTGATTCCCAGGTGTCTGTGGGAATGCTGCACTTCCCCAGTGAGGCCTTGAGGGGATCACTGAAACGCTTCCTCTGTCCCCCTGGGGCTGGCCTACCGTGTCGGAGCTGGGGGTGGGGCAGCTGCTCAGGTAGTCTCGTGTCGGACACGCGGACGGTGTACCCAGCCCATTGCAGTCGGTCAAGGGGGGTCAGTGCCTCAATGCTGGGGTCAAGTCCCACCAGCTCCAGAAATGAGTTATAAAATCTGTGCTCAGGCTGGTTGGGAAATATCCAAATGCATCTCTTTGACCTTCGGCCGTCTGCACTTTTGCCCCTGGGTGTTGTGTGTTAGGTCACCGAAACGTTAATTCTGATTTTTTCTTCACAGATGCTGCCAGACCCGCTGAGCTTTTCCAGCAACTTTTGTTTTTGTTCCTGATTTACAGCACCTGCAGTCCTTTCGGTTTTTGTTGTGTGTTAGCGCCTGGTCGAGGACCCTGGAGTTGGAGCATCTTTCCTCCCAGCAGATTCGCTGGATCTTGGGCAGGCAGCGTTGGTGGGACTGCTCCAGTGCATTGTGGTGTCTGCTATAGACAGTCCATGGACAATGGTGACTTTACCTTTTACTATCTCAGTACTGTGTGTGAGTGTGTGCATGTGTGCGTGTCTGTGAGAGTTTATGTGTGACTGTGAGAGTGTTTGTGTCTGTGTGTGTGCTTGTCTGTGAGAGTGTTTGTGTGTGACTGTAGGAGTGTGTGTATGTGTCTGTGTGTGTGTGCGCATGTCTGTGTGTGTGTATGTGCATGTGTGTGTGTGACTGTGAGAGAGTTTGTGTGTGACTGTGAGAGTGTGTGTATGTGTCTGTGTGTGTGTGACTGTGAGAGAGTTTCTGTGTGGCTGTGAGAGTTTGTGTGTGCCTGTGAGAGTGCTTTTGTGTGTGCGTGTCTGTGGGAGTTTGTGTATGACTGTGAGTGCGTGTATGTGTCTGTGTGTATAGTGGGGAGCCTACTGCGTTTCTGATTAAGACTCAGTCTGACTCTACAGTTACCCAGGTGCCAGCCAACACGGTCTGTTTGTTTTCACAGACCCACATCATTGAATAGCAAAACAGAAGGATTTGTTGCCCCCAGGGAGACACCAGAACTAAACAACAGGAAATCTAACCACCCGGTATCACTGATATCAAAGCTCAGGAGTCAAAATACACACTGCACCAGACTCGTGGATTGCAAATGGTTGATCAGGGACAGCAGGGGAGTATGGCAGTCTGCACTTACGTAGCATTTTTCATGACCACCAGGCACCTCCCATGTTTCGCAGGTATTTTGGAAATGTTGTAGTGGAAGGCAAGCCAATTTACACACAGCAAGATCCCGCACCTTGGCAACAGCCAAATAATGTGCTGTCCCCTCTCAGCAACAACAACTTGCATTTCTAGAGACGGGTCACACAAGTGTTAACACACAACACTGGGCTGCAAAAGTGCAGACGTCCAAAGAGATCAAAGAGATGCATTTGGATATTTCCTAACCAACCTGAGCACAGACGTTATGACACACCTCTGGAGCTTTTGGGACTTGAACACAGCCTCCTGGCTCAGAGGTAGGGACACTACTACCATGCCACAAGAATCCTTAAAGAAATGTCTTTTTTAATCAACAGATTATGACACATCTCCAGAGCAGGGGGAAACGTGAACCCAGATCTTCTGGACCAGAAGTAGGGACACTACCACTGTGCCACAAAAGCCCTCAAGAGGTAGATTTGGAGGAGCATCTGTAGCTAGAGGGCGTGGTGGAGATGTTTAGAGATTTGGATTTCAGAGCTCAGGGATCTCAGGCAGCCGAAGGCAAAGTGAAGGAAACAGGGATGAGCAAAGAGGCCAGAATTAGAGGAATGCAGAGATCTCAGAGGGCTGTAGGTCACAGAGATAGAGAGGGGCGAGGCCACACAGAGGCGATAAGCATCCTCTCTACAATGTGGAATGCAGGGCTGCCAAGGCATGAGAGGAATTTGAAAAACAAAATTCCCTGAGTTTAGGTGTGAGACAGCTCAGTCTCTGTGGATAATGGGGCCAGGCATTCAAACTGCTGATGTCACATTCTGGGACCCACACTGAATGTGAAGTGCCTCAGGGCAGTGTTCAGGCCAGAACTTTATGTAAGTCAATGTCTGGCTGTTCCAGACGACCCCCCCCACCCCATCTCCAGGGTCCTCCTGTCTCTTCCTTCTGGACCATCATTTTCCTATTCCCTTTCTCCAGCTGTTCTCTCTCCTCCTCCTGTATTCCCCCCTCCCCATTCCTACTTTCTTCCCACTTCGTTGCTCCTCAGATCACTCCCAATTAGCTGCAGGGATTCAGGAGGGGTGGGGGTAGACTTCATGGGGGAGTGAGTGGAGGTGGGGTTCAATGAAGAGAAGGGGCTTCAGTGCAAAATTGTGGTGGGGTGGAGTAGTTCAAAGGGGGAAGGGCTCAGCAAGTGAGGGGGGAGAGGGGGTTCAGTGGGGGGGTGGGGTC